GTGGTTTGCTTGTCTTGGTTCCTTTGTCTACCAATTGATCCTCTATTCCATCTTGGTCAGCTATTGCTTTCTCAAGGATCCTTAAAGGAGCAACCTGGTTTCTTCTAGCTATCTCTTGTGCATTAATATGTTTTCCATCTTTCTTCTTTGAGACATGGTGGACTACAACCTGCTTCCCTTTGTTGAATAACTGCACCTGTATTGGTGGTGCCACTTCTGAGTTTGTAGCTGGAGGTACCTCACACTTGTTAGTTTCAGGATTTGTTGTAGTTTTTGGTACTTCAACTTTCTCCTCTACTTCTACTGCTTTCATCTTCCATTCCCATTTCTCCTTCTTCTTCCTCTTGTTATGTTTCTTTCCTTGTTGTTTCTGTTGGGATTGTTTTTGTTGACACTTCTCAGTCATATGTCCAAATTGATTACAATCTTGACAGAATGTAGGCTTCCATTCATACTCCACATTTTGTTCCCAAATTTTCCCTTTTTCCACAATTACAGGAAGAACATCTGGTAGAGTTTGAGTGATATCCACCTCTATGAGAACTCTAGCATAGGAAATTTTGTCAACATGAGTTGTAAGCTTATCTTACACAGTGGTTTCCCAATATAACTCGCCAATCTTCCTAAGTTTTCCTCAGCCCAGAACTGTACTGGTAATCCTGGAAACATCACCCATATAGGAACCACTCTCATAGATTCATTTTTAATACTAAAGTCTGGATTCCACTCCTTCAAAACCAAGGGTCTGTTATTGAACGTATAAGGGCCATTTTGAAGTATCAAGTTTTTATCATCTATCGAATCAAATCTAAAGATGAAGTATTCATCACCATGTAACAGTACCTTTGGCGTATTCACTGAGCTCCATACTCCATATACAAACTTGAGCATCTCTTTAAAAGTTGGATTTCCCCCAATTACATATCCAGTTAGGCATTTTTCCATTGTTGACATTGCTGCTCCACTTCATTTAGATTCAATTCAACCAGCTTAACTCCATCTTTAATCACCGGTGGATAGAATGGTCCTTCATTCGATTTCCTTTGACTATCTCCGCCATAGATCTAGCTGGCTCTGTTGAGTAAGTCAATTTACGCGCTGCTGTTGTAATTCCTAATTCCGATGGGACTGAGGCTTCTGGTGGTATTATGGTAGCTCTTGTCACCGGTGGTAGAGATTCATTCATTGCCGTCGTTTGTATGATTGTCGGTGCACTTGCCATCCCCGGCATCCAATTGATAAGTTGTTGAGGACCTAGTTGTTGTTCAATTCCCGATTCTGGTGTAACCAATCTACTAATCGATTCCTCAATTTGGTCTGTAGAGCTTTTCGTCATCGAAGATTTGATGGCTGTTCATGGTTGTTGGCGTACGTTAGCGATCCTGCTTAACGTGCGCCTTTAGAGAGAAAAGACATCTTATATGATGGTTCTAACACATACCCTTTCACATTACGTTGGGCTATAACAGGTTTTCATCTATCATTTTCTGTAGTATTTCACCTTTTTCGGCTAATTCGTCCCATAAGGTCACACTTCTACTGTTTATATAACTATATATAACTAAATTAACAATTAAAGATCATATCAATTTTATTAAATAACAATGTATCAGTCAAAATAGCAAAGAAGAAATTCAAAAGCAGTAGTACTGGTGCAGCCACAATATCAGGCTTGAGATCATGTCTGGCCTTCACCCCAGTGCAAGGGATCGAGCTATCAAATCCTGCAAACCAGCTCGACAGTGGAACTCAAAGCACCTATTTCTCTGAGACTGGAACATTTTCTAAGATAAATAAATGTTTGATGTGTTGACCTTGGCTGGAATAAAGTGAACTAGCATTATTTGTTACCTTAGGATAATTTCTTCTTATCAAATACTACTTTAATTGTTTTCAAGCATGGGGTGTTATTTATAAATTGTTATATCTATAGGCACTTGCTAATTAATGAAGCTTTTGACTCCTCGCAAATTATCCTATAGTTATGAGCACCTGGCCTTTCTTGGAAGCTGTTAGTTAGAGCTACACGGAATGCAGTTGAATGTGCTTTTTCTGCTTAGATGCAGCTGGGGAAGGTTGTTCTGCTTGTGAAACTAAGATGTGTGATTCCACAGGTATACTACCAACATATTTTTATACTAGTATTAATCTCTTTAGAGAAGAAAGTAAATTTCTGTTATTTCACATGGTTATTATAGCTGTGGTCAATTGTATTTATCTGGTATGCTAATCATGCCACCTTATTAGTTTACTTTCCCTTGTTGTGTCCAAAAACTTCTGGGTGCAACCAAACACCAGTTCTAGTTGAAGTTCTTTTTGAATTCAGGAAATATTTTAGAATGTTTTGTTCCAAAAGCAACTTAGTCAAGAGAATATGATATGTCGCTTCCAAGTTCACTAACAATTTCAGGAAAATATGGATTCATTTAGTCAAAGGTTAGCTTTTATTTGGTTGAATAGTGACATTTTCAGTAAGATATAGTTGAATAAGATTGATCTTTTTGTAATTAGCATACAACACACAAACTTGATTTGGCTATGTTTTCCATGGATTGGGAACCTATATTTAGTTTTGCGCCATTATTTGGAGGTCTTCTTGAGGCAAAATGCACATAGTTTGATACTTAGATCCACTTGTAGCTGATTAGTTTTATTCATTTGGGAGATTCTTCCATAGACTGATTGTATAGAGAAGTACTTTCATCTGTGTTATAAAAGGGTAGCATGATGCAGGTAGCTGCTTTTGTGAGACTGAGGAAGCCGTCTTCTATTTATTTTTTATTTGGTTATCTCTGAAAAATGCAAATTGCATAAACAGAAAACATAATCTTTTTTTTTTNATAAGTCGTGACCTCTGAGAAAAACACTAAAAGTTGGCACATGGTTCTCACCTTGAGGAGCTAAATTCCTACTCTTGATATCATCTTTCTAAAAGCCAGGTCATACTCCAATTACCTAATCAGAATGAGAGAAAAACGAACTACTGGGGACAATGAAATGCAGCTGGGAAATATTGGTAGATAGTATCTGCACTCTAATCAAGTTTATGGAACAGTATCGGATTTTACTACTGAATGGAAACATAAACTTTACTATCTTTAGGTCTCTTGTCAAGGCATATACTTCTTATCAGACTTGATTTTTGTGTTGTATTATGTGGAAACTACAAAGAATCTGCTATATTTGGTGCTGTTTAATGTAGACATAATTATGATCATGACCAATTGCTACTTCATGACTAAAGTCATAGGTTATTGGAGAATATTGGATAGTTAGATAACTGTTGATTGGCTGTCTCACTATTGAACCTATCAACATCCTTTTTTTCTTGGACGAATTTTCTCTTAATAGGAAAAAGAGGATTTTCTCTGAATCCAGGACAATAGAATTGTGTTATAGAGTTCCTGATTGTCTAATCATTCACTTTTGTGGGCTTGTATATTTTGTAGCCATTTATTCTTTTCCTAAAAAATTCTCATATCTTGATATCAACACTCAGAATCTGGTTTCTTTCGGACAACTCATCAGTTGTCTATTACACCAAAAAAAAAAAAAATAGCCCGGTGCACGAAGCATCCTGTGTGGACGCACGGTCCGGGGAAGGGAGTGAACAATCCAAAAAAATCCAGCCCACTCTGAATGGGACATTCCTTGGCCTGCTATATTCAACTGAAAACTACAACGAATGAGGAATACCTAGATGTGCTTAATTGCTCTTTATAGAGAAACTCTTCTTTTAGTGATTGGTGAAGTTAGGGAAATTGGTGGTAATTTTTGAGCTATGTTGTATAAACTCTTGATTTGCCTTGATATATCTGTATAAAATAGGTATGGCATAGTGTGGGTGCTTTATACTGGTTTTTGAATTAGACTTAGTTCAATACTCAATTAGTAAGTCTTAACTTCAGGTGTACTGAATACGAAACATAGTAGTCTACATATTTAACATCATTTTTGGCATTATTTCCCTCTTCGTAGTTTGAGACTGTTCAGTTTTGTTTGCTAAAGTCAATAGGTCAGTATGTGTGTTGTGAAATAAGTCAGCCAGTTTTACCTGATATCTTAAAGTGGAATAGAAATTACAATTTCTGCCGAGTGTGTTGTTTTTCATTAGGATAGGCTTCATTTATCATGGAACGCTGTTAACAGATCTTCGTATTAATCTTTTTGGTGGAAAATTTTCAGTTTGATGTCCAATAAGTTGATGCAGTGTCAAATCCATTTCATATTTCTGGGCGAAAATATAACATAACATCCAGAACTTTTGCTGAAAGGGTTAGGACTATCATAAAATCCAGTTAAATTAATGAATGTTTTGATGGATAAAAAGAATATTAACTTCAATTAGGTAAAAAGTAAATGTAATTTTTAAAAAGTCAACAATTAAAATGGGTCAAAAATTTCTTCCAACACAATGCAAATAAGCCTATTATCAACTGATCTACATAGACAAATAGATCAAACGAAAGTTAAAATAAAAAGTTCTCAATTCAATAGTAACGCATAAAAATTAAGTATGATATTGGACTTTATAATTTTTAAGCTAACTCAAGCCTTAAACCTTCGTGGTCGTTTGGTACGAGGGATAAAGTGGGATAAGATGTGAGATTAAATTTATACCGTATTTGGTTGGAGGTATAGATTTATCCTGGGATAAAATTATACCTCTAACGAAATACGTATAAATTTAATCACAGACTTAATCTAAAATATCTTATTTTATCTCACTCTTCCATATGAAATAAATTAGTCTTGAAATTATAATTCCGAGATAATTTCTTCCATATGTCGCATCAATTCTTTTGTGATCCTTTTCCTTGGATCGTGTACACAAAATAACGGATAATAATACGGGAAAGTAAAAGAGAGAAAAAAAGAAAAGAAAAGAAAAACAGGGACAGAAAGGAAAGTGGCAAAAGAGGACAAAAGTATTAGAAAAAAAAGGACAAAAGCATCAATCAATTTAAATAGGCAAAGTGACCAACTCAAAACCAAAGACCCACCCAAAAGCCGCCAGCACAAAATCCACAAACCGCCAACAGGTTTTTCAATCCACCGGCTACAGCCCTCCATTGATAACCCATACAATTCCTCAAGACTCCCATACACTGACAACGCTATAAATATCTTCAATTGATTCGCTCACTTTCCATTTTCAGCTAAAAGTCCAAAGACACTCAAAATTTCTTCAATCAATCATCGTTGTGAGGTCAAATATTGGGATGGCTGACGTGGCAGCAAAGGCGCGGAAGATCTTGGTGGCCGTTGATGAGAGCGAGGAGAGCACCTACGCCCTTTCATGGTGTATAGAGAACATATTCACTGGAGGAAATACCAATGATGCCCTTATCCTCCTCTACTCCATACCTCCTCGAGCTGTTTACTCTTCCTTGGACGGAACAGGTGAGAAAGACAACCCTGAAGGTATAATATTTCATTCATTAGGTAATTGATGATCATTTCGAGAGTATTAATTAATTATCTGATTAATTGAATGGCGGGTTTGGTAAATTTTTTAAAATCTCAGGGTATTTGTTTTCATCTGATATATTGGCGACGATGGAGAGGTACAGTAATGATGTAGCACAGTGTGTTATGGAGAAGGCGAAACGACTTTGCAAGGACTTGGATGGGGTTAGTCCGTTTTTGTAAATTTACTGATGAATGAAGGTTAAATTGGTCAATATGGAGACTTAAAGGTAATGTTTGTCTGTGTTGGGTTGTATTCAGGTTAAGGTGGAGACGATAGTGGAGCGCGGTGATGCAAGGGACGTGATTTGTCAGGCGGCGGAAAGGTTACATGTCGACATGCTCGTCATGGGAAGCCATGGCTATGGTGTCATCAAGAGGTACGCTTTTTACTACTACCTCTATTTCAATTTAAACTGTACCCTTTATCTATTAGTCCGTTAAAAAAGAATGATTCATTTCTACAATTAAAAATAATTTAATTTTAAATTCTTCATTTTACTTTTATCGAGAAGTCTTTCTTTTTTTTTTCCTTAAACTCCATGGCGAGACAAATTACCTTATCTAAATTGAATGGGGAGTAGTACTTTTTTCACTTATAGCCATTTGATATTCTAAATTCATTGCCCTAAAGTTTGCATCATTCCATTGCATTTCTTGGTGATTGCTTTAGTTTTTAATATTGAATTTGAAAAAAAATGACAAACTTTAACATCAAATAAGCTAAATATGTATAGCATAATAAAAGTATTTCCAGAATCTTATGGTCAGAACTCATAAACATTGTATTAAGAATAAAAGTGAGAGTATTTGAAATTAGTGTCCTAATATAAAAAATGTCGGTCTTTTCAGAACAAATTATAAAAAAGACTCTCATATAAAATGAGACATTAGGAAGTACTAATTACTTTCTCGTTTGGTAGTTAACATAATCTGTTGCAAACAATCCTGGAAATTTATTAGTTATGCATATTGGGTGTGTTTGGTATGGGAAAAATATTTTCCAATTTTTTCATGTTTGGTTGGCTTAAATGGTTTGGAAAATATTTCTTCCAAAGAACATTTTCCAAAACTCTTTTTCAACATTTTCTACCCTTTTCGTACCAAATACACCCTTTATGTTAATACGGATATTTAACATATTTAATACGGATAAAAAACAGGTTAATTGGCTGGTAATATGGGTAACCATATTATCCATGATTTCTTGCATAATGATCACTTTTGGGAGAATTCTTAGTCTCCCTAACTTGAGGAACCTCCAATTTGAGACTTTACAAATGTAAAAGTTAGACTCATTAGTTATCTATTTTCTAAATGGATAATATGGTTCTTATCCCTATTTGATCCGTTTTTAAAAAGTTCATTATTTAACTCATTTTTTAGTGGATAATATGAGTGGTTAACTATTTTCTTTTAATCATTTTGCAACCTCTACGTGATTCTATCTGAATTATTTTTCATTACATCTAATGACAAGGAAAATAACAAACATTTCACAGTGAATTGAAAAAAAAAAGGTAGAAAGAAGAATACTCTCATAGTAGATTATGCATTTTTTCATGCTTATGTAATGGTGTCTAGGGTTTTAATGTTGATCTAAATACAGGGCATTTCTTGGGAGTGTGAGCAACCACTGTGCACAGAATGTCAAGTGTCCAGTTTTAATAGTGAAAAAGCCAAAAACCAATGGCAGCAGCAAATAGATTTTGTACGTTATTGAATTTGTTTGTGTAATGTAAATAAGCAGGGTTCTGTGATTTTGTTGTAGTTTTTCTTTTTCTTGTTTACCTTGATTTATGTACTTTTGGATTAAACTTGCAGAATGATTGTATGATTGCTTTTCAAATTTATTTGCCTTTTGTTCGGGCAACCATTTTTGCATGACTAGCATTGGCAAGGAAACCCTTGGTTCACATACTGGCCCCCGTTTCAATTCATGTGAACCTATTTGACTTACGGGTGAAATTCATAGATTTACAAGTGGTAATTAAAAAATAGTCACAGATTCAAAAGTAATCGAAATTTAGCCACTCGTCATGCAATGAATATTCTGAATGAAAACATTGTTCAAAATTCGAAAAATATTCCAGCATAATATACAGGTCCAGCATAATATGCTGGAAGTTCATACACAGGTGCTCCAATCTCCAGTATATTATGCTGGAACTTTTCGTGTATTGGAGTTCCAGCATAATATACGAGAAGTTTATACACAGGTGCACCAATCTCTAGTATATTATGCTGGAACTTTCCGTGTTGCAGCAAAATAGTGGCTAATTTTTCAATGACTTTGCAAACGCTGGCTATTTTTTGATTATCAGTCCGAAAACTGGCTAGATTTTCACTAAATTTAAGAAAAAAGAGAAATTTTTTGAACTTGTGGTATAAAATAAGATACATATATTTTGTGCGGCTATAAGTTATTGTATAACATAAATTGTTTCCAAATATGAAAAGTGGTCACTTTTTTTTTGGCATGCACTAAAAAACAAATATGTTCACATCAATTGAAACAGAGATAGTAGTAGTTATGCAGTTTCTATAATACAAGAAACGTTTCAGTTAATGTGGATTGCGTTAAAATGAGTGTCATGTAAAACGCAGTTAGTCTAACTTAAGCCACTCTTCAAACATTTTTCTGCTACAATGTGTTCAAACGAATTATCTCTTTCTAATATTTGGGCTCTTTTTTTGTGGTTAGAAAATGGAGAAATTGGGTTCTTTTTCTGCTACAAACAATTCTCAATTATGGTCCTTGCGGATTAAATATACAAAAAGAAACTCCAGATATTTGAGATCTTTCTCTTTGAATAAGATCTCAATTCCAGCGACGGTTTTATTAGATATCTTATAACTAGAATCCCTCTTTTTTCCGATTCAGTTCCTCCACCAACGCGAACCCCAGTTAGATTCAAGGATACTACAATGGGTTCGAACGAGTCATCTCTCTCTGTTTCTCTCTCTCTTACAAGGGAACTCTAGAGAAAGCAAGAGTAGAGTGTTTTCCACTCAAAAATTATCATTTTGTTGAAAAGCTATACCTGTTCAAAATAGACAAAAATATGAGAAGATTCATTAAAAATTTATACATAAAAAATAGTGGAAATGGATATTTCATTCAGAGGGGTGCCACGTGTAAATTTCATCAAAAGAAGGGTAAATTTAGAACATTAACAGACGGCAGGGGACAAATATAAATAAAAAGTATAATGGGGGACGAGATTAAATAATAAATGAAAGTAAAAGGATATATCAGGTCCTTTGCCGTAAAAAAAAGACTTAGAGGAGTATTAAAACTACCTAAAATAAGGCTACATATATTAAATTAAAGTGAACATAAGTATTTCCCTTCCAGAGCTAAGCCAAAACTGTACTTAAAATATTATTTTCACGGTAATGATAACAATTCTATCTTCGTAAGTGTTACAACTAAAGTCTAAAAAGTCCACATAAATTGGGATACACATAAGAGAGTTATTGCTTATCTATGACAAGTTTTACACTTTGCATGGTATCTCAAGTCAATTAGAGCTCTTATAGCCTGTGATCTTCCCCAACCCAAAACCAAGTAAATAAAAATACAAAATGAATCTGTTTCAGCTTAACGTCTCTATGTCCTTCTTCCTCGCAGGGCATTGCTTTGGGTAAGCCAATGCTCAAACTTCTTGTTGTAGTTGTTTCCTTTTATCTCTTCTTAATTCTCCTATTCGAACCCTGCTTTTTACTAGTTTGATCTTTAAATGCATCAAAATGACTTTAATTTGTATTGGTTAATGCCTTAATGGACTCTAAAGAGTACTAGAATTTTAAAAAAGTATTGTAGGATTAGATTATATATGTTTCGTGATTTGCTTGAGTCGAGAGTCTATCGGAAATCGTTGCAAGGTAGGGGTAAGGCTGCGTATACACTACCCTCCTCAGACCTCACTCACTGAATTTGTTGTTGTTTGTAGGTTATATATGTTTCGTCTTTGTGAATCAAGTAAACAATTGATCAATACTAGTATCCTAATACATGCAATACAGTTAATAACTCGATCGTTTATTTTGTTTATTACTCAATTGTTATAAAAAGTTGAGCAATAAATTTTCTATATGTTAGGGAGTACGTTGTGCACTGATTGTCAAATTGAGAAATTGTAGACATCGGAAGTACACAATGCAGCGGATGAAGCTTTACTCCTGCAATGTGTTACGTCATGTTTTCTTCCTCATTCTCCTTGTAAGTACCTTTCAATAATGTATATCTTTACTTTTTTGTTGGTCTCAATATTAATTACTTTAGGTCAAATGAATTAGGAATATATTATAACCAACAGGTGTGGTGGAATGATAAATTTTACTCAACCCTTAATCAGAGGTATCGGTTTGAGTCCAGGGAATGAAGTTCCCTTTGGTAGGGAGCTGCCAAAGTGAGCTTTCTACGGTGCAAAGTAGAACTGGTCGAGCCAGTGGATTTCAGATGATTAAACAAAAAAATTAGGAATAGTTCTAGCAATGAAACATAGTTAGGAAGTGTTTTGAAAAGTTGGTCAAAATATATGTTTGTTGAATCTTCGAAATTGACAAGATAATATAATTTGTAGTAATATCGTTTTTTCCGTTGAATTTCATTGCAGGGAGTGGCAATTTACATATTTATGAAGTTGTCTATGATGAAAAATCAGAGTGAACGCCATGTGAACATGCTATCAGAACAATTGAGAAATAAAACATTTTCACAGATTGAACACACTGCCAATATGTTTCTTCCCCTAAATTACTCAGCATCAAGCTTGGCTAGAGGTCTAAGTTCATCTCTCAATGGAACTCAGTTACCCTTCACCGAAATCCAAACTAAGGTAAATAAACAATTTCCTCAATTTCCTTTTTCCCTTTTGATGCTTTTATATATTCCGGAGTTTGCAAGTTTGATGAGGTAGCAAGAAAGAACTTGTTCCTTGTAGTTTACAGGAATTATTTCAAGTATTGTTCATTGTCAGGTGGTGAGAATATCAGCTCTATGTGTTAAAATGAAGTTGGTTGCAGCAAATTTATGTGTTTTATGAGAGACTGCCCGTTTAAAGAATAGTTAGAGCAGCTCCAATCTATGTTACTCGGACTCTTTAAAAAATGGCGACAGGTGTGTGTTGGATCCTCCAAAAGTCATGTATTTTTTGGAGGATCCAACAAGATCACAATAGCATTTTTGGAGTGTCCGTGCAACATAGGCTCCACTTGTGTGAGTGTGTAAAACATGACCACTCCCAATGACTAGGGGTTGAACTGAATCCCCTCAGTTAGAAAGCTATATTGACATTTTTACATTTTTCTAAATCCCCTTTAGAGTTCCTAATTTCGCTACTAGTTCAGGGTCTAGATAAAAAGGGATTGAGCTAGGTTGATTGCCGGCAAAAAATAGTTCAACGCTTATGAATCAAATGAATACTAATAGTTAGAGTACAAAAGTATAACCTGAGAACCAATTGTTGAAACTTGGCACTAGTTCAACATTTTTTCTTGCTCATTTGGACAACTTTCAGTTGACAAGAAAACTCATGTATTGTTGGTTTGTTGATGTTTAGGTAGCACCTCTTTTGTTTTTGTCACTTTCAACAATCCCATTCGTATCACAAGTGTCATACGTGGGACAAGATAGGCTGATGCTCGCTTTTTACACTGAAGAAGGCCACGACGAGGACCAAACTTTTGCAGTGTTTTCCAATACTTCATCTGCAGTATGGTATAGTCAGCCAGTGAATCGTGACACGGGGATGCTTTATGGGCAACCAGTGGTTGTTGATACAAAAACAGTTGGCGTTGAGACTCTAGGCTGGTCTAAAGAATCCTTAAAAGGAACAATGGGGTATGCATCTCAGTCCTCTATTAGCATTGGTTTGAACAAGGCCAAGAGGGAATTATTTTTCAATACAGCCACAATGGATGGAAGAGGTAAGATCTCTGTGGGGTTTCCAGTACAATATGTGGATGACAGATTTTCCGCCTTAAATTTTTACGGTGCGGATTTTCACCTGGCTAGTAACAATGGTCAAGTAATTGTGGACACAAAGATTCCTCATACCAGCATAATCGTGTATAATGGTACTGTTTCTGTGCAATTCAAGAACTTGAATGGTTCTCGTGAAGATTTGAGTGGCAACCAGTCTTGCAAGCTGGTAAATGGAGAAAGAGGACAGTTTGAAGTGAAAATCAAGGAGAATAATTTCGTATTCTACTGCTCTGTCATTGAAATAGCTGGACTCGAATCGGTATACCTTGATCAATTACTTTATATGTCACCATTTTGAATTAGTGAAGTCTCAAAATGCAGAATATCTGCCCCTAGCTACTATGCTGTATCTTGTGTTACGTGTTTTGTTCAAGATATATATCGAGATTTGTCTAAACTGAGTCATATTACTGTAAGGAGCGTGCATTCTAGACTATTAAGTACAATCATTGATTGATTTGATTCTTTTCTGACACGTTGAATGTTGAAATGGAAGAATACTGGAGAGATTGAAGATCAAATGAAACAATACTTCGATTAATCAAAAATTTAAACGGAATAATCAATAAATTACTATTGGAGTAGCCTAGAACAATAAAAAATGAACCTTCAAAAGACTAATTGGCTTTTGTTTTGTTTTTAGGTGTACACTGTGGCGTTCAGTGCTCAAGGAATGGGAAGTAATGTCCTAAGGCAAAGCGCGCAAGCATATTTGCTGCTTGTGTTCTTGTTTGTTATTGTAGTAGTTTCGCTATGTGCTTTCATTATCATAGTCTTCAAAGCTGCAAAAAGAGAGATGTTTTTGTGTGCTGCTCTGATCAAACAAGTGGAATCAACTAATCAAGCAGAGAGGAAAAGTATAACAAAGAGTCTCGCATTTGCTGCTGCAAGTCATGACATTCGTAATGGTTTTGGAATTATAACTTGTCTGATAAACCACTGTCTGAATGAGGCATCCCCAGATTCTGAGACTGCATCTAACCTGCAGCTCATCAATAATGAAACCACAAGCCTTTTAGGTATGTCCTATATATGCTATATTTCTGTTTTGTTTTATTTCTATTTTTCCCTCACACGAACAAGTTTTATGGGTGAAATTGAAAGCCTTTTATACCTCACCGAACTTAATGATGATCATTTTCTAGATATTGAAGCACTTGAGCCTGTTAAATATTAATAAAACCTTGTACTAAGTATAAACTTTCATACGCCAACAAAATTGTAGAATGGGCAATGAACTTGACAAATTTTTGAGGAATCAAAATTTTTGTGAGGGTTTTTAATCTCTGTGTACGAACTCTGGCTAGTAATAAGGGGAAGTTAATGAATTATATAGAATTTGACCTTCTCTCAAGAACGAAAGCTACTTATCGTGAAAACACAAGCAATAATACTAGTAATACTACCATTTGTCACCCTCACTGGAAGTGACAAATTCACGCAATGGTACTTGTTTGGCTTTCCTCCAAGATGATTCGTTATTAGATACAACTACCTTAGAATTTAATATACTGTTAACCTTTGACTTGGCCTAAGTTCTAAATATAGAGGGTTCAATATATGGTCACCACTGGTATAATTTGTAGAACTCTATTTTGCTGAAATTGTTTCAGGCATATTAAATTCTGTTCTGGACGTGAGCAAGATTGAAGCCGGTAAAATGCCACTCAAGGTAGAAGAGTTCGATCTGGCAGAACTCCTCGAGAACATAGTTGATTTGCATTATCATAGAGCCATAGAGAAGGGAGTGGATTTGGTACTTGACCCTGGTGATGGGTCTCTTTCAACGTTTCGCTCAGTGAAAGGTGACAAAGTGAAAATTATGCAGATAGTAAGTAATTTGGTTACCAATGCTATCAAATTTACCTCAGGAGGACATATCTCCGTCAAAGTTTCTGTGAGCAAACCAAGTAAAGACAATGCCCTTATTGTTTGTAATCGGCATAGTCCGTTGAACTGCTTGACAAGATTGTGCACGAAGCAAAAGTGTTGCTGCAATACGTTGAATGAATTTCCAGCAATTCAAAAGAATCCCAATTGCATGGAATTCACATTTGAGGTGGATGACACAGGTGTGGGGATTCCGAAAGATAAACAAAAACATGTCTTTGAGAACTTTGTTCAGGTGAAAGAAACAACTTATGGAGAAGAAGGTTATGGCTTGGGACTAGGCATTGTTCAATCGATGGTGAGTAACTTAACTGGCCGTTTCCTTCAACAATTTTAATATGGAATGAAATAACAATACTTGGAAAAGTACATTCTTTGAGTAAAGAGATCCAAGCATTCTGCTGTAATCGCTTTGGTTCTGATTGTAGAGTATATAATTGAACAACACATCATCAAAAGGAGGCCATGTAAATGACAAAAATAAATATAAAGCTCTAGATATGATTATGTTTACCCTTAATTTGGTGTAAATAAATCGTTGGTTGTTATATGACAGGTGCATCTGATGGGGGGAGAGATCAAGATTGTTGACAAAGAGGATGGAGAAAGAGGCACTCGCTTCCAATTCAACATATTTCTGACTAGTTGTGTTCCAGTATCTGTTGTTGAAGCTGAGGAACAAGAAACCAATACGCAAAACCATGGCCTTCGCAGTTATCTTTACCATCACTTGGGACTGCCATTTCGGTCATCTCCATCTAGATCAGAGGGATATCATGTTGTCCTATTCCTAGTTGAAGAAAAAAGGAGAAAAGTTTTAAGCAGAGCGATTAGCAAAATGAACATAAAAGTTTCAGAGGTGGGTAAAATTAACGAATTTGTTCAGACGCTTGATAGAATAAAAAGAAAGTTAGACCTTTCCTCTAGTTCCCTTGAGAAATTTGAGGTAAATTTGAATTTAACCTCTGGTGATACAAATGAAGTGGCTTCAGGCACAAAGGACACACATGATCATGCCATCCCTCATTGCAAAAGGTCTAATTCCAATGGCTCATCGAATTTCATAATTATCATTATTGATTCTCAGGCAGGACCTCTCTCAGAATTGAGTTCACCGGTGGTTAACTTCAAGAAAGATTTGCAGAATCTTAGTTGCAAGGTTGTGTTGTTGCAAGATCATGTAAGCAGCAGCAGTCAACCACCGCTTCCTCCTTTTGATTATGTTTTTCAAAAGCCATTACATGGCAAACGTTTATATGAAGTGCTTAGGCTTCTATCTGAATATCGAAATAGTTCAATCCAACATGATAGGACTAAAACGGATCAAGAAATCGAATTCCAAGAATTGGATTCAGATGCCTTACTTAAGTGCCAACTCGAGGAGATTGTGATAAATGATTGTAACAAAAGGAGTAGTACTAGCAAGGACTTCAAAGGAAAGAAGGTTTTGGTGGTTGATGATCAGCCCATATTGCGCATGTATGCTTCCAAGTCTCTTCAAAAATTAGGAGCAGATGTTGATGTTTCTGAGAATGGAAAAGATGCCTGTGATAAGGTTTTGAAATCTTTGAAAGACATGTCTGAAGTTTATGATGATTCCAACAGAACCTATGATTTTATATTGATGGACTGTGAGGTAACATTTCTACACTTACCTCTTTTCCGCTTTACTAATTTTTACAAATAAATGTTGTATGTTATATGTTTATGGATTTTTTTTCCAACTTAAATAGTTTGATATGTTTATGAATGCAGATGCCGGTTATGAGTGGGTATGAGGCAACAAGGCTTATACGAGTGGAGGAGAAGAAGCATGGCATTCACATTCCCATAATTGCATTGACTGCCCATACTATGGATGATGAGATGAAGTTGCTTATCAAAGATGCTGGAATGGATTTTCACTTGACTAAACCTTTAAATGTTCAACAGTTGTATGATCTCATCAACAACATCCAGTTTTGAACGACGTTTTTTCCCATTAGAATGAAATATATCTGTGGAATATGATTTTTAATATCTACCTACCTTAGCCTTTAGTTCATACAAAAAAAAATTGTAACAGCAGCATCGCTCTTGCTTGAGGTGATCGATGTTAACATACAAGATTTGGAGGAAATGAAAAAGAAAGAGGAAGAAAGAAGATGAAGGAAAATTCCACTGCTGATGGCAAGCAAGCAATCAATACATGTCGACCAATCTATATATAAGCTATTGATCACATGATCTTTTAAATACAAAAGCAAGCTCTCGTATTAGTTTTGTGACAACTAACTTTATTTTAAGATGATACAGCAAAACTAAAATGATAACCTCAATATTATAAGGGCTAAGCGTTCATTGCTTAAGGTTGAAATTCACGGTATCTAGTTATCGGAGAGCAAAGGGTACCACACAAATTAACTCCTCCACACACAAACTGCCTCTTAAATGACATTTTCCTCGCCGGTAGATGACCATCATTATTTCAGGATAGAAATAAACGATGATTAATGATTTAAGCTTGCTCGGAAAGTTTTCAAGCAAATTTATGTTACACATGATTAATGATTTAAGCTTCTCAGATGGTGCTTCAGGCAGTAAAAAAACAACAGCAGAAAGGTCAACAATAGTGCCAACTGCCAAGGAGCCAGTCGAATAGAAAACGAGGGGAAAATTCACGCTGGTGTAATTTCAAAACTATTTAGTAGATTCTAATCAAAATCAAACATGTTTCCTATTGGCCGAGTCCCAATGACATCAAAGCAATCAGCCACCCTCAAATCTGTGTCTTTTTGCTAAAAATGGAAAGGGGCTACAATTCACTAATAGAAAGGGNTCAGGAGAATATATGCAGTCAGATTAAGAACAAGAAGAAAAGTGCGGCTGCTAGCTCTGCTTGAAACTTAAACAAGATACAATTCTTACATGCGCTTCATCATCCTTGGACTCCGACTTGTCATCAGCATCATCAGAATCATCATCGGCATCATCATCTTCCTCGGCCTGGAAAAACATGTTCACACCATAAGGGCAAGATAGAGGAAGAACTCAGCTTCCTGATGGAAGGGTAGGGAAGGGTATTGAATGCTGCGACATAGGTAAGGAGAATTCGAAGGAAGCAAATTCAAAGAAAATTTAAAGGCTTACATCAGAATCAGCTGGAGCAGCCTTTGATTCCTGAACAGAGATTTAAATTGGGTCAGAAGAAATCAAGAAACACACAGGAAAAAAGAACACAGGCAAAGTTACCACAGATGCAAAACTAGCATAAACAGAGGATCTGAATTACAGGGGGGG